TATGGCTTGGAAGGACAGATAACGCTAAGTTCACACTGAGAAGTCAGGTCACAAGACAGTGTGGTCCGTGGTCAAGAGTCCAGTGTCTACTAAACCCTATCTTCATAGCTAGGATTCCCAAATCTGGAATCAAAAGTCAAAATGGAATTTCCTTCTCTACTTCTTACCAGCTAATGATCCACTAGCAACAATTTTGTTTCCTTCATGTCACTGCTACTTTAATATATTCCAGTAATAGTGTCATAGTTTCAAAGGAAAAACAGTTCCGATAATGATTCCATGAACTAGAAGTTGTGACTGCCATCTAGCCAATTTGGTACTCTTCTCTTCAAGAAACAAAACTTAATTTCCCTCCTTTCTAGTGTAGGCTATATTTAAGGACTTTCCTCTAGTAAAAGAGTTCAAAAAAGTGATGTTATGTCACTTCCAAGATTGTTGTTGTTGTTGTTATGTGCCGTCGAGTCGGCCCCGACTCATAGCGACCCCTCCTTGGGTTTCCAAGGCAGTATCACTACGGAAGTAAGATTGCCCAACCTTCCTCCCGAGGAGTGGCTGGTGGGTTTGAACCGCCAGCCGTCTGGTTAGCAGGCAAGTGTCTTAGCCACTATGTTACCAGAGCTCCCTTCCAAGATTAGGTTATAAAAAGACTGAAGCTTCTGTTTTGGGTGTACTCTGTGCTCAGTTTCTTTCCCTTGATCACTTGCTTTTGGAGAAACCAGATACCATGTCTTGATGATATTTATGGAAGCATACAGAGACCTATGTGGCAAGAAACTGAAGACTGGCCAACAGCCAGCAAGGAACTGATGCATCCCACCAAACACATGAGCAAACTTGGAAATAGACCTTTCCCTGGTCAGCCTTCAGATGAGACTTCAACCATAACTATCAGCTTGATTTCAACCACATCAGAGATGTTGAGACAGAATACCCTAGCTAAGCTGCTTCATGTCTATGACCCACAGAAACTGTGAGATAATAAGTGCTTATTGTTTTCAACTGTTAAGTTTTGGCATAATGTATTAGGTAGCAACAGAAACTAATACACAATAGTAAAATCATCCCTAGCTATACTCACCAGAGATTAGAGCCTTGAGATATTTATTTGTAAGCAGTATAATCTCAGTAGAAGATCAGAGATTGTATAGGATGATATTCTGCTTTTACCTGGAGTGAAATAGGGTGCTATTGCAGCATTTTGAGCAGAAAAGTGACGTAATCTAATTTATGTTTAAAAATGCCACTCTGGATGCTGTCCTGAGATGAGGCTACAGGGAGCTGAAGCAGGGAGCCATGTTAGGAGAGTACTGCAATAATCTAAGTGGAGACGATGTTGTCTTGAACTGGGATGATAACAGTAATATCGTGAAAAATGTTTGGATTTTAATATATTTGAAAGCAGGGCCAATATGACTGTGCAGTGATTGCATGTGGGGCATGAGCAATAGAGAGGAGTCAGGGATTTTGACTTGAGCTACTGAAAATTTGGAGTTACCATCAAGTGAGATACAAGTGAAATGCATATGAAAAGGGTTCACGAGCAGTTTTAAACATTTTCAGTTTGAGCTATCTGTTAAGTCTCTAAGGTATGTGTCAAGTAAGACTTTGGATATGTGAAATTTGAGTAAAAATTCTGAGATTGAGATATACATTTGGGAATTATAGGTAAATAATTAGTATTTAAAGCCTTAAAGCTTAAAGAGATGATTGGAAGAGTGAGCATAGATAGAAAAAGAGACACCATCTCCTCCAAAGTTAAGAGGCAGAGAAAACACAAGGTACAAGTACACATAACTGAAATTGAACAACCAGTACAGTGGGAGGAAACTCAAGAGATTATGACAGTTTGAGGACCAAGTGAACAAAGTATAACAGGGAAGAAGAAGGGCTCAATTGGGTCACAGACTGATAATAGGCTAAATTCTGATAGCTTACATGGCTTGCTTAGATTTAAATCAAGACACGATTGACTTCAATGCAATACTTTTCTCTGTGCTATCAAGGTACTCCTGCCCTTGGAGAGAATGGAAAGGGCTAAAAAGGGAGATTTGACATGCAAAGGAGTGCTGTGGTACCATGATTAATATCATGAGCTGCTAACCAAAATGTCAGTCATTCATTCAAACCCACCAGCCACTCCACAGGAGACAAGTAAGGCAGTCTACTTCCATAAAGATTTACAGCCTTGGAAATTCTGAGGCAATTCTACTCTGTCCTATAGGGTCAGTATGAGTTGGAATCAACATGCTAAGTCTTGTTAGAAAAGACAGGTTTTCAAGCCTCTATTTCTGATAAGGTGCATTTCCATTAAGAATGTTGTTGCTGTTGTTAAGTGCCGTCGAGTCATTTCCGACTCATAGCGACCCCATGCACAGCAGAACGAAACACTGCCCGATCCCGCGCCAGCCCCACAATCCCTGCTATACTTGAACCCATCATCGCAGCCACCGTATCAATCCATCTCCTTGAAGGCCTCCCCCTCTTTCGTCGACCCTCCACCCTACCAAGCATGACATCCTTCTCCAGGGAATGGTCCCTTCTTACAACATGACCAAAATAGGTGAGACGAAGTCTGGCCATTCTTGCTTCCAAGGAGCATTCTGGCTGTACTTCCTCCAGGACAGATCTGTTAGTTCTTTTTGCAGTCCACGGTACTTTCAGCATTCTTCGCCAGCACCACAACTCAAAAGCATCAACTCTTCTTCGGTCTTCCTTATTCATTGTCCAGCTCTCACATGCATACCAGGCGATTGGAAATATCATGGCTTGTGTCAGGCGCATCTTAGTCCTCAATGAGATATCCTTGCTCCTCAGCACTTGAAACAGTTCCTTCGCAGTTGATAGAGGGAGTAAAAAGAGTTGCTTTATAGTGGTTCTACCTTATAACTGCATCAGAACTTATAGAATGATAAGAATATCCCCAAATCCACTCTTTGTCTTCTATTATCAAAGAATGTAGTGATATTCAGAATCAGTAAGCTTTAACCACAGAATAAGCTTAGCAAAAAGAATACTGATCATAGAATTGGATCCTGTGGACTCTAACTTCTTCATTCCCAGAGATCCTGATTTAAATGATCTCAGGTGGGATTCAGACAGTCCCAGTTTTAAAAGTTTCCTAGATGATTCAAATATAGTGTCTAAGGCATTTGACTGCTAACCAGAAGGCTGGTGGTTCAAACCCGCCAGCCACTCTTGGAAGGAAGATTGGGCAAACTACTTCTGTAGAGATACTGCCTCTGAAACCCAAGGAGGGTTTGCTATGAGTTGAATCAACTTGACGGCAATGAGTTTGTTTTTTTGGTAAATGTTGATAATTGCTGGACAAAATGATCTTTGTGGTCTTTATCTAAAAACTAATTGAAGGGTAAGAAAAACATTTGTTAGATGTCATGGTTGCTTTACATGTAAGCATATAATATGAAGGTATACCAGCAAAAAAATGCAAACAATATTTATGTTTAATTAATGTATCTGTGAAAAATTAAAGTCTGTATGTGCAGGGCCCATTATTTATCCATTCTGTGTTCTCAGCATCTAGATCAAAAGGTATTCTCTCTACTAAGGCACAGAGTCTCTGGGTGATGAGAACAATTAACACGCTTGGCTACTAATCAGAAGTTTGGAAGTTCAAGTTCACCAGAAATAACTCAGAAGAAAGGCCTGGAGATCTACTTCTGAAAAGTCAGCCATTGAAAACTCTGTGGAACATAGTTCTACTTTGACACCCATGGGACTTTTTTTTTTTTCTTTCCTAACAATGATCACCAATTTTTCCATGCTCCCTTTTTACAGACTTGCTGCCTGAATGATTTCCTTTGGCCCTCATGATTCTGATCTTCCATGGTCCTTATGGAGGAAGGTTGGGCAATCTACTTCCCTAGTGATACTGCCTCAGAAACGCAAGGAGGGATCATTATGAGTCAGGTCTGACTAGACAGCACATAACAACAACAACAACAATGGTGAATTATCTGCTAAATTGTCCTGCATAATGCATGATTTCACTTCAGATTTGGATATCTAGATTCTGAACACCAGTGTTGTAACTAAGAGTTTGGTTTTAATGTAGCTTAAGAATAACAGGAACAAACAAACAAACAAAAGAAACTTGGCTTATTTAATTGACAGACCTCATTCTTCTTTATATACCTCCTAGGTGTTGATGGGGAGCTCTGGTAGCATAGTGCCTAAGGCACTTGACTGCTAACCAGAAGGCTGGTGGCTCAAACCCACCAGCCACTCCTCAGAAAGAAGGTTGGACAATCTACTTCGTAGTGATGTTGTTGTTGTTGTTGTTATGTGCCATCAAGTAGGACCCGACTCATAGCGACCCCTCCTTGGGTTTCTGAGGCAGTATCACTACAGAAGTAGATTGCCCCATCTTCCTTCCGAGGAGTGGCTGGTGGGTTTGAACCACCAGCCTTCTGGTTAGCAGTCAAGTGCCTTAGGCATACTGCCTCGGTAACCCAAGGAGGGGTCGCTACGAGTTGGGTCTGACTCGAGGGCACATAACAACAACAACAGGTGTTGATGACTCTTCTAAGAGGATT